TACTATTTTTGGTATCCCAAGGGATCCCAGTAGGATATAGCCGATTAAATTAGGGTAATAACAACAAATTAATCTAATAGATTAGCACTACCTGTTATGATCTCCTGTGACTCTTTATGGCCGGCATAATAGATGAAACAGAATAAAAGGTTACAGAGTTCAAAACATCTATGTAAATAATAAATTAAGACAGACAATTTGTTGCGATTTTGACACCAAAATATAAAGAAATGGACTATTCAGAATCCAGTTTGCGACATAAAGCTGAAATGAGGATTTATAATCTGACTACGTGGCACCTTCCTCGGCACCGGATTTACCTATAGGATTGGCAGGCTGAGGTCTAGGTCCCCAGGATCACGGAGGCCTCCGGCCAATGTGTGTATAGTATTAAAGAGGCAATATTCAATAGCTAAATCTGTCTATTACAGGTCTTTCTTTATACCTTTGAAGGAATGTTATATAAATTATTAATAAGTCATTTACTAACTTACGGTACCAAGACCATACTCAACTCTCGATGCCATCGGATGCTCGAGATTTTTAACTGATTCAAATACGATTGATAGTTGATGATTAATTTAAAATTGATAATCGAGACTTTGTTTGTTATTCTAACAATGGTAGCAATGACAATCGAGACTACACTGTTCTTCTAACGGCGATAACTCGGCTCAGAATGAAGTAATTTGACTAAATAAACTTTTCAACATATTCTCTTTTCATTGTCTATTTCTTAACTACGTGTATTACATCGAGAACTGTCATCGCTTTATCTAAATCTTACATAATGCCTTTTTAATGACACTGTCATAACCGTTTATTACACGCACTGTAGACTTAAACATCCGCCATCATCTGACCTTGCTCATTTGTTTAAAACACACTCTCATCTTCATCTAGTCGAGAGGGTAGGGGATTTGGAGGGGTCTCATACGTGGAATAGCCTTAAGCCCCATTCATCCACATGCGACATTAACCTTCCTTCTACTGCGTCTCCTATAGACATCTTCGTATCTTTGACCGGAGTTGCACAGGACACAGAATGAAAACGTATCTGGTACGGCTCTATTACGGATAGTTGATAGCATAATATGTCTTATCACATGCTTATTCATAGTAGAGACATGATGTATGTTTTAGCCTGAAATTTGGTATTTGAAAATCATGTACATACTAAAACGCCGCCATCACAATATCCTGTGTCCAATTAGCGTCGCACCAATAAGCATCTGACCAATGAGAATCGTACTAATAAGCATCATAACAATGAGATTAGTACCAAAGAGTGGACCATATTTATCCACATTTACACTACGAAAATGGAACGGCATTCAGTCCGGACCATGAATCGTCCAGCAAGAATGTCAGCCAGTGGTGTAGTAAAAAGGTCAACATAATTGTACCAACTCCAAGCCCCATCTAATAGTGTAATTGCAATACCGATTATTTTAACTGTACTATGAAGAGTTCTACACATAACCAAGCCGAGAACAGATTTGACACAAGGTTCAAGTACTTGAATTTTAGAGGGCCTGATCCGGATCTAGTGTACCTGGTTTTATAGGATTCGCTTTGACTTTCGCAATTGTGTATTAATTTGTTTCACTAGTAAACAATGGCACGTCGACTTAAAGAACGTATTGTTATCGTTGATGTAAGACTGTTTTTATACCACTTCGGTATGACGGCTAATTATTATAAACCTGATAACCCAGACACTCACAGATTAAAAGGTTAGACGCATAATAAGCAATTGGTGAAAGAAGAGATACCGGGGTCTTGCTGGTTCTAACATTGTAATTACTTTTGCAATACTTGTATTAGGGCTTGCGTAAAATATGCTAGTTTAAAATATAAATACCGAACATTATAATCTATCGGGACTATTCGAAGACAAAGAGGCCATTAAACGAAATTATATCGGGTTTAACGTCCTAATTTCTTGCTCCGTCAAGACTAATGAAGACGGACATGCGCCATGCAGTGGGCTATATCGGGGGAGGGGGGCATTTTACCCGGGCAGCGGCGATACGGCCTGCTTGTGTTTAGAAAGCCGACTGTCAAGGGTTTATTTACTTGCACGCCAACGTGTACACTGAACCTCGTTTTATTTCCTAGTCCTGCACCACTGGCACACCCAAACCACGCGAGATAACTCCAGGGAACTTTCTTGTTTAAAACCCGAATCTAACCCAGACCTCTAGGTTAGAAAGCCATGCCCTAACTCACTCAAGCACCGCGGCTCCCTCAATAAAATGAAAAGCAAAATAGTAAGCGAACTTCCTAATGGTAAATTAACAAAATAGTAATACCCAATAGTGGTGCACACAATGTAACTCCCATTAATACTTCGATTTATGTATTAAATCTGCTGATTTATGACCCCAAGAATGCCATCTACAAAATTCTCTATTCCTAGTAAAGGTTGAACTAACAGCACTTGTATTGTGTTGGGGAATTACCTAAAGCATTATATATTTATTGTCGAAAAACTCTATAAGCTCGCATTGTTTTAAAAGTCCATTAGAAACACGCCATCTATCAAAAGCGCTACAATCAACAACATTTTTGAATTGGTAAAGAAACCTATGTATAATATCCGGTATAATATTTCTATTTTAACAATTATTAGACTGTCATGCCATTAATGATAAACTAGAACATTTCGTGTTAAAAAACAATTCGTTTTAAAATAACCAAAGTTTATGCATTACCGTGTGATATTGACAGGTTGTTTTTATGACAGATCTATATTTATGGAACATGTATACATGGATTAGACAATGAAAAACAACGGTCATAAACCCTATTCACATTGGACCTTGGATAAAATGTGGTCTCGGGTCGAGACCAGATTCCGAGAGAAAAATGTGTTGACTCTGAGGAATTCATTTAGAAGTAAACATTCGATCTATCGAAAAATGTGACTACAACTTCCGTTCATTCGATTAATTAAAATTGGTGCGACCTAGAGAAAAACTTTGTTTTTCTACTTTATTTTTGCACTTCAGTGCAGCGATAGAAGACAATTTATGCGCCAGAATATACACGCATTGACTTCTTGGTCAGTGGAAAACAGGGATATTACAAATTGTGGATCACTATAACGTGTCTGTGGCGTACTATCGTTGTAGATCTGTTTGGTTCAACCTAATGTTTCCGTTTTATCATACTCGGCAGTGTATTTTATTTCATGTTGATACACACCACTACTTTCTATCTAGTATATTCTTTCTCTCTCATTCGGCAGCCCCCTTGCTGTCGTTACTTAATTTTGCCGGCCTGGCCTGCTGTACTGTTGAACAGTGGATTTGACCACTGGTTAACAATGATTTAGTGCTTAATTTTGGACCAGGAAATGTTCCCCAAGAGCTATCTATCCCTCCCGTTGTTGCTCTTCTTGGGAGCCACGCTCTTCGAACAAAAAGTCCCAGGCATGAAACTGCATGATTGCTCCTTTGACGGTTGCGCTTCGATTGACTTACGATGATGATACCATCCTCGGTTCCTGTTCCATACAGCACTTTCGTACTATTTTATATACAAAAACTTGTAATTATCGGATAAACACGTAGTTAATCATATAAAACAGTAGAGCGGCGTGACAAATTGTAATGTTCGTGTATCAAAAACAATTGACATCGTCTTTGATCGCCGTATTTAGTTGTGTGTCCAGCAATAGGTGCGTGGTAATTATTTTGTCCAAACTGTTGGGATAGAGTTAACCATTCCTTGAAAATTGCCAGAACAATATTATGTAAGAATTTATTTTACAGTGAAATAATGGCACAATCAATTGACAAGATAAGGATTAGGAAAGGTCATTACTAAGGTAAAGGGTGGCGTTATGTTGGCACTTTATACACCATTAACCTTCCTGTTAGATTAAGATATATCATGGTTTGGATAAGCAAAGTTCAAATCAAAGAATGATGTGTGAATTCACAGATTAGTGGAAATGCGATTCTAGACACCGCTCACTTCTTTTTGTTGTTCTTTATGGGGGATCTCTTATTGCGACAGTTAGGTTAAAAAGTAAATTAATCAGACTTTTGAATGATTGCAAAAACATCAAGTGGTTCTTTTGTCAGGATAAAAGATGCATTATGCAAGGGCTAAATCTAATTATTTCAGATTCTTTTTCTAGCTTTATTACAAGCCCATCATAATGGAGACCTTAGGTCATCGGATGGCTGAGATATTGTATGGATAAGATCACCCGCGTCATATAATGTCAATTGGGATCTAGTTTATTATCATGACAATGGTACTTGAAAATATTAAACTATAACAGCAAGAATGACCAGCTCATTATCTAATCTTAAAGTAGCTAAGTCTCTAACTCAATATCATCCAAAATCTTCGACATTGAAAACACGAATTAATTGTCGGTTTAAATCAACATTGATGTTGTGATCTTACCGGGAAAAGATGGGCTTCTGATATCCAATATTTATGACAAAATAAACATTTTACAATTGGTACACGAATAAGGGAGTGGAATGTCAAACGGTGACGCTATATTCTTATCTGGAGAGCATGCCCAATAAATACTATCGGCTTAGACTGTAATAAACAAACGCTGGAGATTAAAATTCGATTTAGAATACTGGCGTATTTCGCCGAAACTAACTGATTAGAGATTACAGTAAAAACAGAAACGATTGAATGTAAATCAATTTATATACATTCATATTACATTATTGTATGCGCTGCCACCCATTTGTGTCAATTTCTAGGTCCCAAATATTAACGACTTAGCTCCATTAAATAATGCATATTTAGTTTTGATTGTTTTATGCCAATATATCTGTGTGTATGAATAGATAAATAAAGGGTGTGTAATTGCATAATAACAACAGAGTTTACAATGTTGTGCCTTTCAAGGGCGTGATTACAAGAAATACGGGTGGTCATCCAGCGGAAAAAATGGCTGCTTCAATGGACGCTTAAGAAAAGGCATGGATATTTTGATGATATATGTTTATTTATTTCAGGTGCCCCGTCGGATATACTGGATTAAGATGTGAAATGATAGATAAAGATTACTTACTGGCGTTATTAACAAACGCTATAATCATCAGCTGAAACAATGGCGACTATACAACTACATTTAACATAAGGTACAGTATATTGTTTAAAATTACCGTAAAATTGTGAGAAACTCAACCGATGAATTACCGGTATTAGATATTTTTATGCTGTGTTTCACAAATAACTTTTTGGTTCAAATTCGCGTGGTCTCTTAGTAGATCAGCATTCCGGGAGGGGGGGGGGGGGTAGCCTTGCTGAAAAGTGTACCAATTTTCACCTATATGGTATCATTGCATGCATATCTGGTATTATCAGAATGTAAGACTACCGGGTATCTGTTGTCTGTTGGCGGGTGAGGGCTGTGATTCTAGACTAGCTCAAAAGTGTACCACATCAAATGGCACACAGTGTATTTTACATCTTCAAGTATTACCAAAACACTCTGACAGACATTTCTAGTGGTGGGATACCGCCACAGGAATCAAGAATGACTACTGCCAGACTGTTTGTGTGGTGGGGTACCCCTGACGGACACGCCCAAAATACCGCCACCCTACCCCAACTAGGCTAGAGTAGGTGAAGTCCGTATCACCTAAAATTGCTTGGAAATTGTTCAGCACCAACAAAGGGATCCTGAAAGACACGCCCAAAATGCCACGGCCCGCAACTGGGCTAGATTAGCTGAAGTGTGTACCACCTAAAAGTTCTTGGAAATTGTTCAGGATCACACTGCCCATCGCTAGGGAGATTGTGTGGTGAGGTTCTCCAACCCGACTTGACAGCCAAGCGTCCCATTCCCAAACATTTGGCTTTATCAGCTGGGTCAGACTTATTGAGAATTTTGGGTATTACATATTTTTATGAATATGTAATATCTATTAAGGATTAAGTAATCGTATGAAGAATAATAAATAGTTGTTCAATCCAGTGACCACTGACATGCATCAACATCGATTAGGAGAAAGTCCGGTGGCCAAACCCCATTTTAAGCCTTGACATGGAAATATAGTCCATCTAATGTTTCTAGGTAGAATATGTGTAGATTTATAATCCGGATGATGCCACCCCATTGGAAATTTAAATATTCTGGTTGTTTAGTGGGGTAAAATATGTGTCAGATTCTCTTGGACCTCGGTTTGAAGATGGTTTCCATAAGAAATCAACCCACTGAATCCATTGAGCCTGGTATTCCCCCTAAAAGTGATGGCTAATTCCGCTAGGAGGCCAAATTCAAACTGGAGGCTCATTTTGGAGGGAAACTGATAAAGTTCACTAAAAAGGTGTGTACTATATTGAAATGTGGGTTTTGGGTGGATTGTATATGTTTAATATGTGTAGATTCAGAATCTAGATGATACCACCCAGACAGATTCTCTCGGACCTCGGTATGAAGGTGGTGCCAGAATTTGACCCGCTGAATCTAAAGAACTTGCGTATTCCTTAGGGGCCAAACTAAAAATGGGGGCTCATTTAGGAGGGAAACTCACGAATTCCCGAAAAAAGGTGTGCAATATATAAAAATATGGGTTTTCGGTGTCATTTAATTCATATAAACATAAAAACGTGTATTCCAGTTTGAGATCATATTCAAAATGGCGGCCATTTTTGTTGAGACAAATCGATGTTAGTAATGTATTAAAGTGTAAGTTTTCGGATTTGCTGAATTCATATCTGAATGGCGAAATATGTCATGACCGAACGAAACGCCAATATGGTTTCCAAATTCAACAAAATAACTAAGTTTAGCAGACCATGGAAGAAAATAGTATCCGTAATATCACAGAACTAAGAGCACACATTACAATGCCATACGAACAGAAGCTACGGAGAGCGAATTGTAAAGCATACACTATGATCCACTATGACACCCGTCCATGTCACCTTTACAGGCGGAATAAGGGATGGAAAATGTTTGCCTGCATTATACAAAACCCCATCTTTACCGGTGCGTAAGAGTGACCTAATGACTGCCAAGACAACGTTCACCCCCGTTTCAGACTGTTCTATCGATTGCGAGTATTCCAGTGATTCAATCGAGGTTACGTTAGACTTATATGTGAGGCTGGACAAGTCCCAGTTAGCTTTTATAAACATTTGTTTTCAACTCACGATGGTCTGATAATTGATTGTGCTTGACCGGCATAATTTGTGTCCTTATAAGAATACAAGGAGAAGACAATTATCGGGTTGGAATACCTTTTGGTCGGAACATGTTTATATTTGAAATAATTGACAACGGAAATCTGTATTTCAGTATATTACACACTGTTTTAGGGAGCTCGCATTGTGAATTTGGCCCGTTAGCGGGATTAGCCGTCACTTTTAGGAGGAATACCCAAGCTCAATGGATTCAGCGGGACGGATTTTGATATAGAAACCACCTTCATACCGAGGTCCGAGAGAATCTGTCAAGAATTTCACCTCACTAAATTAAAGTATATAACTAGAAAATGTCTCATGACGGTCATTTTGGATATTTAAATTTTCCCTTTGTGGCATCATCCGGATTCTGAATCTACACATATTGAAGATACATAATCAACCGAAAACCTACGTTTCAATATATTACACACCTGTTTTAGGGAACTTTATATTGTCAGAATGTTTATGTAATAGTTGAAGATGTAAGGTTCACTGCTGTACCATTTTCATGTGGTACACTTTAGAGCTAATCTAGCTCAAGAATTCATGCCCAGAATCTCAGCCCTCACAGCCACGGCCACCACCAGATACCCGGCAGACTTATATTCTGATGATAGCAGACATGTACAGATACCATATAGATACAAATTGGTACACTATTCAGCTAGGGTGACCTTATGGGCTCTTGGTCTATAGGATAGTGTTGTAAATATGTGAAGTACAGTTAATCCTTACCAGTGACCCAAATACAATGTTTAATGACAAATTCCTCGAAAGGGGAAACAGAAAGACACCTCTAGACAAGGAATAGGTCGCCTGTTCAACCTCGTTGGATTCCTCCGGGTCCCCCTGTTTCCTCCCACAGTTAAAGATCCCTACGCGCATTCGAATTATTGAAATAAAATTGAACCATATGTTGGGCCCGAAAAGACCTAGTTTGTGTCCAGTGCACATTAAAATAAAACTACCTAGTTTGTGGACGTTATCTCTCTCTCTCTCTCTCTCTCTCTCTCTCTCTCTCTTACTGCTATCACTACTACTACTTCCTACTGCTACGTAGTATACTGTCAGCATTGGATTACACACAAAACCAAGCTTTTAACTTCATTGATACTAATCTTGTGACGCGTTTTATTAGGTTTCGTTGATAAATATTTTATCAGTTTGGTATCTTAAAAATGTATTTAACTATTTTCCTTCAAAAGAAGGGATTATAAAGTGAATAAAAACATCTTTAAAAAATTATAAATTAAAACATGTACAAACCGTTATAATCATAACGATATGTTATACACAGTTAAAATAGTCAGTTAAAATCAACACACAGATGTGTTTAAATCCAGTTTTCGGTTTTAAAAGATCACTAAGTGGGTAAGGCGCTGATTCATTTTTACAAAAACAGGCACTGGTCCTGGTGATGACCGAGAAAGTTCTTCGGCATTTTTCTGCGTCCTATCCCCAAGCACCTGGCAAGGAACACTGGCTAGTCGTTTGGGTTGGACGATAAACCGGGGTACTGTGTACACATTGGCATGCACGTGAAAGAATCCTTGATAGTTGGCATTTGATAGTTGATCGTATTGACGCTGTCGGGCCAAATTTCCACCATAGCGCATTTAATTTCTATTACGTTTAATCGCTACATTATCTGTGGTAAATCTTAACACAAGCCCAGCTTCTAATTATTTTATGAGCTAAGAATATCAGATCAGGTTCCTGTTACCCATAGTTAAGTGTGCGTTACAAATTCTTTCTCGTAAAACCATTGAGCGACCCTTTATAACACATTCAATTTTTAGTGTATCATTTTAACATTTTCTGTTAATGTACATTTTATAGAATAATCCTGCGTGGGTTTAAATCATAAATACATCAAAGGCCGATTGTCAGACGAATGGAGTAAGAAAGATGATTTTTGCAAACTTGTACCAAAATCTGATAAATGCCATTCTCAAGTTTTTACAAAGCTACTTTTCTTTGATTATTGCTGCGTGATAGCCCAGTGGCGCCGCTTAGCGACATTGTACAGAAACACAGTTTCAAAGATAAAAGTAAAGGTGGATAGAATATTTTGACAATGTTTCTAGAACATGTCTAAAAACCTAAAGTAGAATACTATCACACACAATTTGAAATGAGTTTTATTAATGTTAAGTAGGGTGAAAATTACGATAAATTCACGGTGGTGGGTTTCTTCAAAGTTGATTTTACACATTATCAGATATATGGCACTTTGGTTTTCAAACTGTTACATTAAATGGTCGGAAGTACGTCGACAAAGAACGAATCGTGTGCGACGACTTGTTGATATGCCCTTTGTTGTTTCCGGTCTCCTTTGGTGGCGTCATTTCGTTCCATTTTCAACAATGGTGGTCATTCGGAATTCTCTGAACGTCAGATTGATTATTACGTAAACATTTAGGTTTAACCGAAGACCCCTAGTTCACTTTACACAATTTTCTAATTTAAAATAGAGTATACAACATCGCTTTTTTAAAATTTGGTCGGGATTTTAATAATATACCATAATATCAACATAGAATTGAACTGCTTCTTGTCTATTATGATAACCTCTTAGGGCATATTAACTAAATGTTAAATACCGGGGTGGTAATGACTTTTCGCGCCATGACTAAATTGTGTGCTGAATACCCGGTATACTATATCCGGTCTAGCGTGACGATATTCATTCAATTTCATTTTAATGTTATGAATCAGGGTGGTCAACATTTACATCAGAAAGGTCGTTCGTCAAGAAAAGTTTGGCTAAACCAGACTTCAATAGAGTCTATAAACATTATTTTGCATGAATAACAAAACTACAAAACTGATTAATGCAACACATCTAACCAAGTACAGAATACTAATACGCATTTTCTCACAAAGATTGGTATACTTGTCAATTTTGAAAACAAGTACGAGCACATATGGACCTGAAACCGAGTAT